TTAAAAAAATACTTTTTTCATAAATTATCATAAAAAAGATGATCACAATAATAATTGATTAGCATAAATATAATAGAAGAAGCGTAGGTGCATATATAATTTAAATATTAAAATTATTAAAATATTATTAATAAATAAAAATATTTAATTTAGCACTTATATGAACTACAAAAAAAAAAAAAATCATTTACATTAAAAAAATACTTTTTTCATAAATTATCATAAAAAAGATGATCACAATAATAATTGATTAGCATAAATATAATAGAAGAAGCGTAGGTGCATATGTGATTATTATATAAGTGGATTAGGGAAGCAGCCTACGAAGCATGTCAAATGTCAACAGCCCTTACTTGGCACCCAAAATTTTCAAACCAAACAGTGGAAAGTGAGACAAAATCAATAACATTTGGAGAAAAAAAAAACATAGTTGACTGAGATTTACATTGACCATCTTTCTACTTCCCCACGTGGCTTTGGTCCATGACGTAGAAATTTGGTATATGATTAGGTTTGGACAACCCTTTTTAAAATTAATTAATTAATTAATTAATTAATTAATTAATTAGTCTAAGAGTGTAACAAAATTTTATGCAAAACAATATAGAAGGGCCACCGCAAACGGTGGTCAGACGGCTTTGCGTGCTGCAACAAGGAATTTGCTAATCCTTTTTCCACACAGCCACTCATCAAAAAAAAAAATTATAGGTATCTAAATGAGTCAGTAAAATTTTAACACGTAAAGTTAAAGATGATATAGGGCAGAGAATGTTAAAGGTATAAAGGACTAAACTATATACAATGAATTAGCACAAATCTTACTCGCCCACGGCTATTCATGTATGTGAATAGGAAAATGTGTTTTACATGTATTTTTAATTTTTTTTTTTTATGATTTGTTTAAAATTTATTTTCTAATTAATATAGTATGAAAAATCAATGTTAGATTGAAAGTTTTATTTTATATAAATCATATATGTTAATCTTTATATTGTTTTAGTTGAGTTAATTACTTTTTTAATTATATAAAATTTAACATCGCTAAATATATATGTCAATAAATAAATTTTTTTCATAAAAAGCAATAAATTTTAGATCAATTTATATAAAAATTAGTATACATCACTATATATATATGTTAGTAAATAGAGTTTTTTTAATAAAAGAACAATAAATCTTAAATCAATTAATATAAAAATTAACATATATAATTTATATGAATAAAACTTTTAATCTAATAATTAGTTTTTAAATTAAAATATAATTTTTTAGACAGAACTTCTGAAAAAACTTGAGAGAATAACTTATATGGTTATACCACACTAATCATTGTGTGAATATATCACCAAAATTGCTATTTATATATCAAAATGTTATTGGTTTGTTATATATATTTGATAGAGAATCATCATAATTGAGATGAAAGCTTATATCATTATTCTTTGTTTAATTTCAACATGATTTGTTAGTTTTTATAGTAAAAAATTCTTTGCTTCATTTACGTAGTTCAAAGGGAATTCTCTTAATTTCAAACTTTAAACACTTCCGTGATCGACAAATGGATGACAGTAAGAACTTTGACAAAATAACATGAAAAACAGAAAGAGAAGCAATCTTTGCTCCTGGTTTTGGTATTCCTTCAAAGAATAATGCATACAAAAGCGAAATCAAATGGACCAAAATGGCGATTTTCAAAACCCACCTGTTTTTGATTCTCCATGCTTGTTTTCATGTGGAATTCTACAAAGGTTTGGTAGTGATAGGAAATAAAATAAACATTGGGTTGAGGTCAGGGTGGTTGTCTTATCTGCTAAGCAAAAT